TACGAGGCTGAGCCTCTAGGCCGTGGCAAGCGTTCTGAAGAGATTTTAAGGTTCAAACTTAACAATGGATTAGCTTGCAGGCAGTATCCTGTCAAGGAAACCAACATGATTATACGATCTGAGGCAAGCATTGAAATGAATTATTTCACCTCATAGTCACTAAATGCTATTGTGTATGCTAATATTGTTTTCTTGTGGATGTGTTTCCAGCATGTGAAATATCTTTCCTGTTTCTTTATTCTGTGATTATATCAGTAATCTTCATTTCTTTGTTTCTGTCTCTTATGCTTATGAAGGAATGAGATCCTGATTCATTTTTTCAGGATGAAAATGGGAATAAGATGATTAATGAGTATGTACGGGAATGTAAGATTGGTTCTGGCAGCTATGGGAAAGTGGTAAGGATATTGTTGGAAATTCCTTTTTTTTACGTAATTTTCATAAAAGATTCAAATGTGAACTATTTTGTTTTCTTTTGTGGTAGGTTCTTTATCGAAACAATGTAGACGGGAAATACTATGCTATTAAGGTTAGTAGCTTGTTTCAGTGGAACAATTGAGAACAAATGCTTTCAGGCAATTCAGTAGCATTTATTTGTTTGACAGCATAGTTTTTAAAATTCAAGAAATATTTATTCCATTATGTTCTTATAGGTTAAATTTGGTTGTGTTTTGTGGATCTAGTACAATTTATGCGAAATTAAGTTCCCTTTCAATAAAGAATTATTTTTACATTGAATTACAGGCTTTTCATAAGTCTCATTTATTAAAGTTGCGGGTTGGTCCATCAGAGACTGCAATGACTGATGTTCTTCGTGAGGTATTGGGTTGATAGTTTGTGGACAGAGCTACCTTAGTAATCTACTGTTGTCATGTGAAGTACTTTTTTTTATTTGACCATATTTATCTCATCCATTTCCCTTCAGGTTCTAATCATGAAAATTTTGGAACATCCCAATATAGTTAATCTCATTGAGGTGATTGATGACCCAGCAATGGATCAATTCTACATGGGTATATATGTTTCCTTTTTTTATTCTTTTTCTCTATGAAGTGATGTGGTTAAAAGACTGATTGGGCCGGCCTTTCTTTTTGTTTAGTTCTTGAATATGTTGAAGGCAAATGGGTTTGCGAGGATTCTGGTCCTCGAGGAGGCATTGGAGAAGTGACTGCTAGGAAATATGTGCGAGATATAGTATCCGGGCTTATGTACCTCCATGCTCATGTATGATTTAAAACCCAATTTTTGTGCATTATTTACATTTTTTCCAGTCCTCTATTAGGGTCGTGTGTTTTGTGTGCTATATGTTCCTGTTTTAGATAAATATGATGAAGTTTTTTTCTGAATGTGGCCAGAGATTTCCCCCCCTTGTTTGCTGTTTTTCCTTGTTTGTTCATATTTGTCTAAACACAAACACAATACTTAAAGAGTTAAGGTTGTCAGATTAAAGTAACATCCTGAAGAAGAGAGTTAGCTAGTTGTGGACTGTGATATCTATGATGTATACTGCACTATGTCCCTGCATGTCTGATGTTCTGTCTTTTGATATTTCATTGTTGAAATTTATTCATCTTGAAATCTTCTAATTTTCTGTGTGCCGTGCAATTTTCTTTCCTAGAATTTCGCTTCTTTCTCTTAATACTAATAGCATGGAAAGTTTTCGCATGCTCCCATTTAATTTTCTTTTTATATCCATTCTCTTGTTTGCTGCACTAGACAAAAAACATCTGTTAATTGTTGTGCTTAACAGGATCTTTTCTTTTTAAAACAGAATATTGTGCATGGCGATATAAAACCTGATAATTTGTTGATTACTGGCACGGGTATTGTGAAGATAGGAGATTTTAGTGTCAGCCAGGTGTTTGAGGTAATGATTCTACACTCATAAACTTCCTCTTAACGGACTCTCTCTCTCTCTCTCTGGTTGAGCCTCTTTTTATCTTTTGCTTTTTTACTGTATCATTTCTAATATAATATTAGACCTGACATTTAGTGTAACTTTGTCATTTTTCTATACTTTTCATGTCATAATTGTGTTCAAGGTTTATGTTGTATGGGTTTTGGAACGTTCGTGTACTTATGCTATTTGTATGTTTTTTGCTTTGTTTTTCTGTACTGTTCATGTTATAATCGTGTTTAAGGCTATGTTGAATGGATTTTAGCTTGTTCGTGTATTCCTTTAGTGTTTGTGCTACTTTTTGTGTCGTGTTATGTTTTCACGGTGTTTTAGTTATTCTTCCTGTCTCATGTTTGTGTTGTGTAATTGTGAGGTCTATGTAATTTCGCGGTGTTTAACAGAATTTATCCTTGTTAGATGTTATTTGGTTGGAAAGTAAGTTTTACAATATTTTATTTTCAGGATGATAATGATGAGCTTCGCCGATCTCCCGGGACTCCTGTTTTCACTGCACCTGAGTGCTGTCTAGGTCAGGGTTCGCTCTGTTAGCTGAGACTATGCTCTAGTTTTGGAGAAATAAATTTGAGAACATAATATGCGTTTGGCTGTACCGTGTTTGAAATTGATCAACAGGTTTAACATACAATGGAAAAGCTGCAGACACGTGGGCTCTAGGAGTTACTTTGTACTGCATGGTACTTGGACGGTATCCGTTTCTCGGTGAAACGCTACAAGATACATATGACAAGGTATGGAATTTGCTCAATCTGTCTCCAGTTTCTCTTTTCTTTTCCCTCTCCCCCCCCACACCCAACAACAACACGGCACTTATTTTCTTTCTGCAGATTGTTAATAACCCTCTAATTCTGCCAAATGACATGAACCCGGAGTTGAGGAACTTACTCGAAGGCCTTCTTTGCAAAGGTTAGTAAAATCGTTCTCTCTGAGCTCGGGGTCCTTTATTTATACCCAACACTAATGTTCATCAATTGCCCCCACCATGTATTTCTAACATGGTTATGTGGTATTCTGGAAATGTAAACATTTTTTTCAGACCCAAAACAGAGGATGACTTTGAATGATGTAGCAGATCATTCTTGGGTTATGCGAGAAGACGCACCGACCCTCCAGTATTTATGTTGGTGTAAGCGAAATAGCTATTACCCGACGGAAGAATATAACATTTGATGGGAACTGGTTAGATTATCTTCTTCTAGTGTCGACATTTCAGCTTAGGAAAAGACTGTCTTTGGGCAAAAGATGCAGAAAGCCCTATGACTTGTGCAAAATGAAGAAACCAGTGAGGATTTGCGCATCCACATTACATGGTGGAACGTCGATGAGGACTAGAAGAGACCATAGGATCCGACTACTATTATTATTGTTATTATTTAATGGTTACGAAATTTTGTTTGTCGCTTGACCTGGCTATTCTCTTTATTTTTTTTATTTATATATTCTTAATAACTTATTCATCCTATCTTAGATTAAATTAGATTATCGTGAAAGTAAATATCGAATAAATACCTTTTTACTTCCTTTAGCAAACTGTACATAGATTAGCTCTCTTGTAATCGTTCACCTCAGGCAGACGATAAAAATATTCTGGTTTTCTTTTGGAATTCTACTTTACGGTGATTTTAAAATCTAGAATTTTGAGATAGATTTGATAATATTAGATCTAAGTAACGTAAGATTTTAGGGAGGAAATTATTTCAATTATTAGAATTTATATTCATTTTATTTAATCAAATGTATGTAACTTTGGGTAACAAAACAAAATAATTGATATTTTCTCTTTGAATTCTAGTGAATAGGGGATGAAACGGGTGGTGTAAATGTAATTCTTAAAATTTTTAAATTTTCATATAATTTAGATGTTTTTTTTATAATTTTTATTAATAATTTAATTTTATATCAATGAATTTATATAGTTTTGTACCCTAAATTTTTAATATAAGTTTCCAAAGAATATACTTCATTAAAAATTATTTGCCAATCAAGCTTTCTTTAAATTTCATTAAATATATAATCTTCAAATCCTGAATAACTAGAGATTTACCTTGGGCTAATTTAATATGATCTTTATTGAATGATAATTGATAAAAGATCCGTCCTTTACTTTCATTTGTGTATTAATAAAAGAAAAATATTTAATTTAATGGTTAATGACATTTTATTCATAAGTAAATCTTATAAATCTAATTAAAGCATTGGTCTAGAATTTCCTCCAATAATATCATATTTTTCCTAACATCTTTTATATTTATTTCGTCGTTTCTGTTCGAGAGTTTTTATTCTTATAAAATTAAAATTAAAAAAGATAAGTTGAGTGAGTTCAAATATAATTGTAAGATATTTAAGTTATAAAACAAACACAATCTTTAAATTATTAATAATGATCACAAGAGAAATAATAAACACGATTATATAAAAGTTTATTATCAAATTCGAATTTAATTAGATTGATTCTTGCGGTTACAATAAAACGTAACACCTCATAAAATTAATTGTTTTCGTATTAGCATACTACTTTATAACAACAACAACAAAATCCATCAAATTTTAGAAATTCTTAAATCTCCGTCAAACTCAAAAAATTAAAATAAAAAGAAAACTTTAATCGTGTCCTAAATATCCTCTCCCAATCTTTCTTTTGATATTGATCCAGAAATCGCAAGAATCCACATTCAATTTTATCTTCATTCTTCGATCTCAATATCAACTTGCAACTCACGTCGTTTTTGCACTTCAGGGTTTTCTTTTCTCATCATGATCACGAACTCGTCATAATTGATCCTTCCATCCTGTAAAAATACGACAAAACCATGTAATTCTATGCTTTGGATTTACTTTAAAAATAGAATGAATGTATGTTACTTACATTGTCAGCGTCAACTTCAGACAGGGTTTCCTTTAGGTTTGCGTCATGCATTCCATGTTCACGTAGAGCTTGCTCTAGTTCTTCAGTCGTGATGTATCTAAAACCAAGGACGAACGTAAGATTTTATATTAGGGAAACGGATTTATAAGATTCAGAAACTAGATTTTGTGCTCATTACCCGCTATTGTCTTTATCAAAGTGTTGGAAGGCATGGTACAGATGGTCTTCCCGGTCCATTCGATTCATGTGCACCGTCGCCGTGATGAACTCCTCGTAGTCTATGGTTCCATTCCCATCTGCATCAGCCTATATGTTTTTCAAAGAAAAACCATGTATTTATCTCATGCATTACTTTAAAGGAAAGATGAAATTGGTGTTTTGGAAATGACTTACGGCCTCCATTAGTTGTTGAACTTCATATTCAGTGAGTTTTGTTCCTTGTTTAGAAAGGCCTTGTTTCAACTCTTCGAGTGTTATGGTCCCGTTGTTGTCGGTATCCATGCCCTTGAACATCTCCTTCAACCCCATGATTTCTTCCTCTGATAAACACCCTGCAATGACCTGCACCAGATTTTTTTTCCAGGAAAATTTATAATGAAAGTTTCTTGGAAAGTCTAATCATTGAGATGATTAAATATGGGATTTAATTAATGGTACCCGCAAAGCAACTTTCTTGAAGTTGTTCATTGCTTTAAACTGTTTGAGCCTAGAAATCACTGTATTGTCCAAAGGTGTATCAGGTGCTTCTCCATCCTCTTTGATCCATGGATGACCTGTTAATGGCCATGGCCATATTAACCTTACTATTACAAGTACTAAATTTAAAGCACAAGAAGATTGAGCCATACTCACTTAGAACCTGCACTGCTGTTAACCTCTGCTTGGGATCCATGTTGAGCATCTTCTTCACAAGCTCCTTCGCTTGAGGTGAAATTGCAGGCCATGGATCGCTCGTGAAATCGATGTGGCATCGTAATATCGAATTGAATATCCCGTTTTCGGATTCTATATATCAACAGAATTATCTTATGAGCTTCAAGCTTGTGGTGAAATACCAGGAAATGAGAATGAATACTTACTTACCAGCCCAGAAGGGAGGAACACCAGATAGAAAAATATACAACATAACTCCAATACTCCATATATCTGCTTCTGGTCCATATTTCCTCTTCAAGACTTCAGGTGCAATATAATATGCACTACCAACAATTTCTTTGAATTCTTCACCTGTTTCAACAAGCCGGGATATCGAAATATAATGAAACTGAGGAAATCACCAAGGAATCAAAACAAAGGAAACCAGATTAGGGTGGGTAAAAATAACTCAACCCGACTTGTAAAAGACTGAGAGACCAAAATCCGTGGCCTTGAGGGGGGAATCTTCTTCCTTGTTCAAGAGCAAGAAATTCTCAGGCTTGAGATCCCTGTGGATGACCCCCATAGAATGGCAAGTGTGCACAATCTGAACGACGGTCCGAAGCAAAGAAGCGGCGGCACGCTCGGTGTAATGGCCCTTAGCGATGATCCTATCGAACAGTTCTCCTCCAGCACATAGTTCCAAGACCAAATGAACCGAATGCTTATCCTCATAAGCTCCCTTGAGCTCCACGATGTTAGATTGTCCCGTCAAATGGTGCATAATCTGAACCTCCCTTCTAACATCCTCAATATCCTCCTTGCTAGCAAGCTTTCTCTTGGCGATCGTTTTGCAGGCGAATTGTTCACCACTTACCTTATGTGTACACAGATACGTTACCCCAAACTGTCCCCTACCCAATTCTTTGCCAATGTTGTAGGTTTGTTTAATGTCTTCCATAGGCCGGCCCAGGACCTTACCGATGGGGTTCTGTTTCAAAGAAGGCTTGTTGGAATCATTAATGGAAGAAGTCTTAGTTGGAGCGGAACCATTCTCATCGGCGGAACTGTTGGGATCATTGTTGCCATTGTCAGGAGCGGATTCCCCCTGATCGGCGGTCTTCTCGGCGGGGTCGCCACTAGCGCATAAATTCCCCATCGTGGAAGAGAGATAAAGAGGAGATGAAGTTGAGGGGGGATGGGGAAAGAGCCTTAAGCAGTGGGAGAAGGGGATTTTTGATGTTAAATTTCTTAATGGAGGAAGACGAAGATGGTGAAAGAATAGGTTTGGTGTAGAAAATGGAGGGACTAATGGGGCGAGGTTTCAGGACTCAGCCTGTCTAATAATTTTCCTGATTCCTGAAACAGTTATTGGGGGATGCCTTCCAAAACATGTTTTTTTAGACATTCTTGTGCTCCTTCCTTACCTTTTCTCAGCCTCACCCTTGTCTTGGAAAACCGTTTTTCCCTCTTTCTTGGGGACTTCCATATACAAACACCTCTCATATCACATGTATCATCAACTTTCATCGCCTCAGTGACCAAAAATGCCTTATAATATACGATTTTAACCAACTTTTTTTGGATTTGCCAAAATGACCAACAAAATCGCAACGCGAAATAAAAATCGCAACGCGATCCCCAGAATCGCAAATCAGTTTCCAAAATCGCAACGCGATTCTTGAAAATCGCAATGCGATAGTACAAATTCGCATTGCGATTTTCAAGAATCGCAACGCGAATATGAAAATCGCAACGCGAACACATAAATCGCAACGCGTATCCGTAAACCGCAACGTGTATCCGTAAATAGCAACGCGTATCCGTAAATCGCAATGCGTATCCGTATATCGCAACGCGTATCCGTAAATCGCAACGATAATCCGTAAATCGCAACGAGAATCTGTAAATCGCAACGATAATCCGTAAATCGCAACGAGAATCTGTAAATCACAACACTGAAATTTTGGGTATATAACTACGCAACAGCAGCAAATCATAAACTAAATCCCTAAATCGCAACTCATTCCATCTCCATCTATCACTCTCTTCGGCGACATCCGTTCCTATATCCAACGACATCCTTCCCAATCCGGCAACAGGTTTTAGTTTCGCAGCTCGTCTGTTTAGTAAATTAATTTACAACCATGAAATCATCTAATGTTGATCATGTTTGGATAGATTTGTGTTTTGGAGGGTCATGGGATAATGTTCATGGTGTTTTACAATATATGCCTTTACCTATGAATCTTCAACTAAAATTGTCTTTACAAAAGTTAACTTATGAAACTCTAATGCTACGTGTTTCAAATAAATTGAATTTAGAGCCCCTAAGTGGATTTAGGCTATCTTATCAGAGAAATGGTAAAGTTTATTTGTTAACCGACAATGAAGATGTTGAACGATTCATTGCTTACATTAGTGTTTCACAAGATGATGTTACATTGTATGTTGTTGAACCTAGAAGTAGTATTGTTGGGTCAGTAGCGGGTAGTAATCAACTAAGTTTTTCTCAAAACCCACAACCTTTCTCTAATCCAAATCCCAATCAACTTTCAGCACCAAATTCCGGTTTTCGTATTGACCAGTTAGACGATGATGAGCCAACAGAAAAAATTGTGAGTACTAGTCAGTATTCGAAATTTGGTCTTGGTCAATATCCGGACTTTGATATTGGTCAATACACGGATTTTGATGATGTTTCAGAAGAAGAAACAGACCCTGCGTGTAATGATTTTGATATTGGTCAATACCCGAATTTTGATGATGAAACAGCCGTTGCCGAAGAATGTATTGTTGATGATAATGAGGAGGAAGTTACGACTGTGAATGAACATGTTGAACATCCATTCTGTAATTCATATAATCCTGAAGAAGAAAAAGAAGAAGAAAAAGTCCCCGAAGAAAAGAAAATGCCACGGGCGTATAACTGGAATATGCCAGAATTACTTCAGATACCGGAAGAAGAGTTGGTAAAGAAAGCAGTTGATTGTTACACAAAAGTTATTCGTATCAAGAAAGATGATTGTTTTGATACAAAGGAAGACTTGAAGATAGCTTTGTATACGAAATGTGTGGAAGATGGCTATCAACTAAAAGTTAACAAATCAAGCAAAGATCGTTTCGAAACAAGGTGTATGATTGACAAAAACTGTACGTGGCGTATGATTGCAAAGAGAATAAAAGATTGCGAAATGTTTCAAGTTAGGACTTTTATTGATAAACATACATGTTCAAGAACCCAAGTTTTTCCTCAACATAGACAGGCAAACAAAAAGGTGTTGGGTGGTTTTCTGGCTGAGTTAATGTTTTTGAATGGCATGGTATATCGGGGACATGAAATTATGACTGACATGAATGCTCGGTTCAAGATTAGTATATCATATTCTCAAGCTTGGAGAGCCAAATGTTATGCCTTGGAATTGTTGAGGGGGTCGCCAGAAGCATCGTTTGCCCAACTGCCGGCTTATTGTCACAATTTAAAGCTGAAAAATCCTGGGTCGGTAACTCATATCAAAACAGATAGAGATGGACACTTTGAGTTGCTGTTTATCGCCATTGGTGCTACGGTTAGTAAATCAATATAATTTTGTTGACTCATTTTTGTTAGTTACATGCATTTCACATTTAAATGATTATATTTCTTGTGTATATTATTTTGTAGATTCGTTCGTTTATTACTTGCATGCGCCCAATTATTATAGTTGACGGAGCACATTTGAAAGGTCGATACCTTGGAGTAAACTTATTAGCAGTAGCCATGGATGCTAACAATGGGATATTGCCAATAGCTTACGGGGTTGGCAAATCTGAAACCTCTGATTCATGGACATGGTTTATGGGGCATCTTAGGGATTGCATAGGTCCTATTAGCAATCTGACAATCATATCCGATAGGGCAAACTCAATTGACAACGCTGTTAGAAGGTGTTTCCCAGATGCTTTTCATGGACTTTGTGGTGTTCATTTGTATAGAAATCTAAAATCAAGGTCTGCTGGTATAAAAAAGCACAAATGGACATACTGGAAGGCTGTAAAAGCTTATCGGGAAGTGGATTTCAATAAGCATATAAATTGTTTAAGATGTGTTTTGCCTCAGTGTGCTCAAACACTAGAAGATGTCGGGTTTGAAAGATGGTCAAGAGTACATCAACTTGGAGCAAGATATGGTTTCATGACGTCTAATAGTGCAGAATCAATCAACGCTCTAAGTCGTCATTCCCGGAAATTACCCATTACTATGTTAATGGAGTTTTTTCGAGCCTCTATTCAACAGTGGTACTATAAGAAAAGAAACCATGCAGGTATTATTTCTTAGAATTCGTAACTTATCATATTTATATATTTTACTAAGTATTGTTTATTTAAATTTACAGGAACATTGGAACATCGTGTTACACCATGGACTGAAAAAAAGATAACGAAACGTGTTGTGAAGTCAACGTCATGGAGAGTTGAACCATGTTCAAACACTTTGTTTCAAGTACTGGATAATAACTTAAATGGGCTAGTCGATCTAAATGCAAAGACGTGTAGTTATATGAAATGGCAAACATCTGGTTATCCGTGTGGCCATGTTATAAAAGTTGCTCTTCATTTAAACCAAGATGATTCAAGCGCATACGCTATGGATTGCTACACTACAGAAGTTTATCGACAGACTTATGCCGAGATTGTCTACCCTATTCCACATCTTTCTGAGTGGGACATACCAGATGACTTACAAACAGTTTTGCCACCAGCCATGGACAGAAGGCTACCTGGCCGACCAAAAAGTCACGATCGTATACCGTCTAAGGGTGAAGAGAAGAAGAGATCGACATGTAGTCGGTGCAAGGAAAGTGGTCATACAAGGTTGACATGTGGATCACCAGTGCCATCAAAATCATCTTTTCCTCTACCAAAATATGGATCCTCATCAAAATCCAAAGCTCATATGGTGTCAAGCAAAAGGCAATCATCTTTAAAATCCCAATCACAATTGGCTTCACCTTTTGGGACTGTTAACTTAGGTGATTTTTAAATGCAAACGTTGTATTATGTGGATTTTATGTGTGAACTTTTAACATTTTCAGTTGAATTAATGACTCAGGCCAACCATTTTGACTTAACCAACTCTTGTTATTCAGTTGTTATCACTTATTAGGCATGCATTTGACTATCGCAACACGGAAATTACAATCGCAACGAGAGAATCGCAATGCGAAATGAAAATCCCAACATGAAAATCGCAATGCGGAAATGAAAATCGCAATGCGAAATGAAAATCGCAATGCGAAATGAAAATCGCAATGCGAAATGAAAATCGCAATGCGAAATGAAAATCGCAACGAGAGAATCGCAATGCGGAAATGAAAATCGCAATGCGAAATGAAAATCGCAACGAGAGAATCGCAATGCGATTTTCATTTCGCATTGCGATTCTCTCGTTGCGATTTTCATTTCCGCATTGCGATTTTCATTTCGCATTGCGATTCTCTCGTTGCGATTTTCATTTCGCATTGCGATTTTCATTTCGCATTGCGATAGTCATTTTTGCCTTCAACATAATGCATATTGAAATCAACAAAATCAACCATTACATTTCAATCAATTAAACAAGCACAAATAAGAATTATGTTCGCATCAATTACACAAATCAACTTTTACAAATCATCTTTTACAAATCAATTAAACAATCAAAAAATAAGCAATAATTCTTATTTCCAATCATCTACTATTGAATCAACTTTTACAAATCAATTAAACAATCAAAAAACAATCAATTAAACTATTGAATCAACTTTTGCAGCCATAGATCATTTTCACGCAGTTCACTTCTGAGATTAACCTGCAGAAACCAAACATTTGCTCAAACAACACTTTCTACACATCTAAAACCTACAAACAGCAAATTATTGAATTCTAGGTACTTAACCAAACATTTTCAAACCAAAAGTCTATAAACTTACCAATTGTTTATGGACATTTTTAAAACGCGGATGCAGGTAGGCAGCGTCTCGTATATATCGATTTAGCCATATAATGCCGAAACCACAAGCCTACTGTAGCTCTATCTCTATCGGTGGGAGGTAGATACTTGGTGCTTCCCGTCGTCAAACGCTCCAACGCCAAGCATACGAGAGGACCACAATCTCCTCTGGCTCCTTCCGTTTGTTGTGGCGCGGTCTCGTCTCTAATAACTGTAATATTGAGCTTCTTTGGCTTCTTGTTTCCAGAACGAGTCCAATAATTGATCGCATCCAAGAATTTAGCCAAATGAGAGCTCCATCCCATAATAATATCTCTTAAATCAGCCAATGATATGTAATTTATCATGCTGTCATACACTATTGTCTTAAGGGATGTGAGCTGAAGCTCGACGAGAATCCAATGTTTACGTTCCAAAACAGGGATAAACACCTGCAATCATAAGTAATAATTCATTCATTTGCGCACTTATTTCATAAAACCTTTAAACTCAATCTAAAATAAATACTAACCTTATCGACCTCCCACCATGCAGGATAAAGTTTAGCTTGTCCATTGCCCAAATCAAATGATTCATCTCGTGCATTCTTCAAGTGAACGGCGTTAAAAGACGTCGGCATAATTGTATATCATATATTTTTATTTTTCTTGAGGGATGACAGGCGAGTCGAGCTTCTTCTTGCGGTGTCTTCGCACTATTGGGGTGTACGGAGACTTAATAGCACGTGCACGCTGTCTGATGCGTGAACTCCGTCGTGCAAGCATAACCCGACATAAAGCATCCACTCTATCGGGCCGCTAAATAATTAAATACAAAAATCAGTAAATAAACAGACATGATATTTAAACAGTGAAAACAAAGACAAATATGTTTCAAACTTGCATTGTATTCACCCAAGTCATTATTCTATCATAGTTCACAAAATGCATCAGATAACAAAGAAAAATATGTTTCAAACTAATACCCTGAAGTTAGTATTTGTCTTTGTTTTGTCTATTGGTTGAAGTAATGCAATCCATTCAAGTTTCAATTTGCAGAAGAAGAAATAGTTTACTTTCGCAACACGAAACTTAAAATCGCAACGCGAAATGAGAATCGCAACGAGAAACCAAAATCGCAACGCGAAACCAAAATCGCAACGCGAAATGAAAATCGCAACGACAAAATCGCAATGCGAAATGAAAATCGCAACGAGAGAATCGCAACGCGAAATGAAAATCGCAATGCGATTTTGTCGTTGCGATTTTGGTTTCGCGTTGCGATTCTGTCGTTGCGATTTTCATTTCGCGTTGCGATTCTCTCGTTGCGATTTTAAGTTTCGTGTTGCGAAAGTAAACTATTTCTTCTTCTGCAAATTGAAACTTGAATGGATTGCATTACTTCAACCAATAGAAAAAACAAAGACAAATACTGACTTCAGGGTATTAGTTTAGCAGAATTGGCAGCAACCGAACAAATTTACTTTCAACCAAAAGACAAAACAAAGACAAATACTATTTCACAGTGTTAAAGAATACACAGTTTAGCAGAATTGGCAGCAACCGAACAAATTTACTTTCAACCAAAAGACAAAACAAAGACAAATACTATTTCACAGTGTTAAAGAATACACAGTTTAGCAGAATTGGCAGCAACCGAACAAATTTACTTTCAACCAAAAGACAAAACAAAGACAAATACTATTTCACAGTGTTAAAGAATACACAGTTTAGCAGAATTGGCAGCAACCGAATAAATTTACTAAGCAATCTAAGTGAAATGGCTAATCTAAGTGAAATTACGAGTAAATTTATCATTAAGTTAAATATGGAAAATCTTAAACTTACCTCGTTGTGTAGAGTATGAACCTCATTCTGCAACGATACTATCATCTCACGTAGAGCGGCAACCTCACCACGTAAAGTTGACACCTCCACACGCCATGCACCATCGTTATCGCGTAGAGTACCGATCTCCTCACGCAAGGCATTGACCTCATCATGTAACTCATCCCGTGGAGGTGGAGAACAAGGAGATAAATGTCGTGGCCTCTTTACCGGTCGCCTATCATGAGGTGATGGTGGAGAAGAGGCTCGATGATGTGACGGGATAGGTGATGGCTCTCGTTCTAGAGGTGTATAGTCGGGTCGATCGGGTGATGGCTCTGGGTGAGGTGATGGCTCTCGAATTGGAGGAAGTGGATGCTGCTCATCATCCGTGCCATCAAAAAAACTCTGACTAGCTTGCCACCAATCAGTGGCAAGCTCTTCCTCCGTGGGTGTCAGTCTTTGTAATGGAATGTTGGCCTCCTAACAATATAAAAACTCAAACAAAGTTAAACGTCTACTATTAATAACTTGTTTATATATTATGAAAGTATTTGTGTTAACTTACATTATTTATTGTCGCATATGGTATTAAGTCTTCCCAATCCAACAGATTTTTCCTCTTCCAGGAAATAGCCCTGGGAATATCATTTGACGTTTTTATTGCATATGTACGCATGCTGGGGAAAGCCTCGAATATCCAAATCTACAAACAATATAATAACAAAATTAGTAATTGCTAAATAATTAATTATAATTTTAGAAACATTATATAGAAATTCTTACCTTAAAGGCCCAAACAAAGCCTGACAAAGTGTATTTCGACCCATCGCCACACAAACTTTTGCGGTCATCAAAGGCAGTAGACAACTTAGTCCATGTAGCTTTCCATATATACGAACCCCACGGAAACAGATTCCATGCATTCAGGTCCTCTACCAATATTATTAGCTCCCGAGGAATAGGTTGTCTGGCCTCTCTGCCTAAAAAGCCGGCATATACAAGTAGTAGAAGGCATACTCGGACAACATCGACGTCATCTATCCGAGTGAAACCAGCTTTCTTATTAAACAATTTATTCAGGTCGTCGACGTGTAGGTTCGGCTTCTCCATTGACTCATCCGGAAAAACCCGGGATAACCATGATGGGCGGGCGATATGACGAGTGTACCGGCCTACATCATCGTGTCCGAATCGTAGACCAGTGATTAAGCAGAACTCCTTCCGCCCAAAACAAGTATACGCTGGTGGAAAATGAAACCATATCTCTTCCTCACCACGTTGTATACTGTCGGGTAGATTTGATGTCATGGTCTGAAGCCACAAATGGGTCAAATTAGCATCTCCACCCGGATGCTGTACTCTCAGCCATGGCCCGAAGCAGGTTTCCTCAAACAATTGTCTTTGTGCAGGTGAAAGCTTCGAAGCAATTGTAGTTGCTAGGCTAACTTTATTCCTTAATGTCAATGAAGCCGAAAAAAATTTCTACAAAAACAATAAACATACCAAGTTAGATATACCAAAAACTACACTGTGAAGATATACCAAAAACAATAAACATAAAAAGTAGTAGTTTATTCTTGAAACTAAAATTTGCAACACTGTTTTGTCTTTTGGTTGAAATGAAAATCGCAACGAGAGAATGACTGTCGCAACGAGAGAAATGAAAATCGCAACGAGAGAATCGCAACGCGAAATGAAAATCGCAACGAGAGAATCGCAACGCGAAATGAAAATCGCAATTCTCGTTGCAGATAGTGATTTTCACGTTGCGATTTTCATTTATCTCGTTGCGACTCTTCTGCAAATTGAAACTTGAATAGATTGCATTACTTCAACCAAAAGACAGAACAAAGACAAAGACAAATACTAACTTGAAAATCGCAACGAGAGAATAGCAACGCGAAATGAAAATCGCAACGAGAGAATCGTAACGCGAAATGAAATCTAAGTGAAATGGTTAATCTATTATTGAAATGACCAGTAAACTTATCATCAGTTTCAATATGAAAAACCTACAATAATGCAAAAATTTCAAAATAAAAATAATTAAAAAAACTAACCCTCGGAGGTTGATTTTCCATTTCTGAATATTGTGAGGGATTTCTGACCGTGAATGGTTGTGAGGGATTTCGCCGGAGATGGGGACGGAAATCTTCGGAGATGGGGACAGATTTCGCCGTAGAGAGTGAGAGATGGAGATGAGACTGAGTTGTGATTTTAGGTTTTAGGTTATGAGTTGCGATTACGGGATTTTGTCTTAATATTCGTTTTTGTAATTTGAAAATAAAATACGCGTAGCGATTATAATGGCGCTTTAAAAATCGCGTTGCGATTTACGAATACGCGTTGCGATTTACGGATTATCGTTGCGATTTACGGATACGCGTTGCGATATACGGATACGCATTGCGATTTACGGATACGCGTTGCGATTTACGGATACACGTTGCGATTTACGGATACGCGTTGCGATTTATGTGTTCGCGTTGCGATTTTCATATTCGCGTTGCGATTCTGGAAAATCGCAATGCGAATTTGTACTATCGCATTGCGATTTTCAAGAATCGCGTTGCGATTTTGGAAACTGATTTGCGATTCTGGGGATCGCGTTGCGATTTTTATTTCGCGTTGCGATTTTGTTGGTCATTTTGGCAAATCCAAAAAAGTTGGTTAAAATCGTATATTATAAGGTATTTTTGGTCACTGAGGCGATTTTCTCATTTTAAAAATTAAAGGGTAAACTATACGTTTAGCATACAAAATTGATTATTTTTATTTTATTTTGATACTTAAATCTATTTTATTTAAAATTATATCTAACATTTAATTCAAATTTTATTGTGGTATCCATTGTTAAAAACTTATTAGAACTGAAGATGCGATAATTTTTTACTTTTTCAACGATGACATGACATTATCTTATGGTGACACATCAACATCACCGTTAAGTTTTTAACGACGGATACCAAAATGAAACCTAAACTAAATGTTAGGTATGATTTTGAAAAAAAATAAAGTTTGGGTACTAAAACGGAATAAAAGTAATAGTTTAGATATTGAACTTGTAGTTTACCCAAAAATAAAAGAAAGGAAAATAAAGGTCAATGAAATGAAATAAAAAAATCAAGCTTATTCTCTAAGGTGGCGTTTGGTTCGTTGGAATGTTTATGAGGGAATTGAAATCTGTGAAGGAATTGGAATCTGTAGGAATTGGAATCCAATTCCATATTCTGTTTGGTTCGCAGACATGTCAGATGAATTTGATTTCAGTAATATAAAATGACATAATTGCCCTTCTTATTTTTTTGCTTTATTTTAATTTATTTTACAACTTACATGTAGTAATATATTATAAAAATTAAAAAATATTAAATTTTCATTTTATTGATTGATTATTAATTTCAATAAATTATAAAAATCATGCTAATAAACATTATAAGTTAAAATCATCACAATCAAAATATGTTAATAAGTTACCAAAAGATAGAGCAATATTTCAATATATTCCAATCGGAGTATGTTAATTAGTTACCAAAAAATATACCAAAAACTATTTTTATTCAATATATGAATTAGAAACTCGACCCAACACGACTCAAAATAATAAAAAAATTATTTTTATTCAATAAAAATATTGACTTAATTGAAAAAAAATTATATATAGAGGGGTATTATTGTAATTATTCATAAATATATAAGGTAAAATTATATATTTTTTTCGGGTCGGTCTGGTTTTTTTCACCCTAAACCCGAACCCGACCCGACCCGACCCTACCTGACCTGACCACCCGACCCGACTCAACCTGAATATCACACTTAAAAAACCCAACCTGACCCGAACAAAATAAAGTTTCATACGACCCGACCCGAATATATGAATTAGAAATCCGACCCGCATATATGAATTAGAAATCCGACCCGAATTATATATATTTTCGGGTCGGTCCGGTTTTTTTCACCCTAAATCCGAACCGACCAAAATAAAGTTTCACCCGACCCGAATATATGAATTAGAAATCCAACCCGACCCGACCCGAAATAATAAAAAATATTTTTATTCAATATATGAATAAGTTACCAAAGGATTGATGAGGGTAGTATGGTCAAATTTCAATTCCCTCCAACAAGGGAATTGAATTCCATCAGGGATTCCAATTCCCTTAAAAAACTTGAATCAAACATGGGAAAGTGGTAGAATTGGATTCTAATTCCCACCAATTCCAAGAGATTCTATCCAACCAAATGCTACCTAAGTTACTTTTTAGATTTTAGAATTGCTCTCAATTAAAGTTTAAGATATACATTATGTTTCACAATTATTTACAGATTTTAAGTTGACTTGGTGTTTAGGCATGAGATTTAGATCCTAAAAAGCTTACGTTTGATTCTTATGAGTATTTTAACTCTAATTTTTAATCAATAAAATGATGTCGGTTTGATTTATTTTGAGTATCAAAATAACACCATCAAAACGACATCGTTTCTATATAATGTATATGTCAACACATCAACATGCCTTTAGTAATTTATCAGTTTAATGGTATAATTGAAACGAAAATCAAATTTAAGCACTATAATCGGTAAAATTGAAAGTTCAATGATATAAATGATACAACACTACAAGTTTAGTGGTACCTGATATAATTTACCCTATAATTTTAATATAACATACTAATATTTTTTAAATTATTAAATATTTCAACCTGCTGCTCTTTGTAGCATGGCTGGTGTTTGCAGCAGTTTAAGAAGTAGGTGTATTAGTGACCATTTCTGGGAAAAACACGTGAGAAAGAAGTGTGGTAGAATTGTTGGTCCTGCTGCTTATAGAGAGTGGCAATGGCATATTGCTTTAAGAACAAGAAAGGATTCAAATAATCTGAAACAGGGTAAACCAAAAGGTTTGATGACGATTTTATGAATTGTTTGGCCATCTTGGTGGATTCAATTAAAGGTTGATGATAGTTGTAAGCAGTTTTCATTGCCAGATGATTCGATTATGTCCTGGTTTCTTGCTCTTCAAACCGGCAGATTCTGGTTCCCTGCTCAGGTCTATAACCGTGAGGTATTGTTTATGATGCTTCAAATATGCTATATCAATTTAACCGGCCTATACCATGCTGCTTTTTTGAATTCTGTTTCGATTCTAAATGCTATGCCTTTATGTAGAATGGCCATGTTGGGTTCATGTTGTCATGTTATGATGCAGAGCTGAGTTATGTTCCCCGAACTGACACCTTCCAAGCCAGGTAATGATGGGAGATCAACATAATTATGTTCTACAGAGGATCAAATTAGGCCTGACACTTGGAAACTAATCTTAGATTGGTTTGATATTTAGGTACCCTCCGCATGGAAGGGGTGACCGTAGAGAACAATGTACCGTGGGAAAGGCTCCAAGCACCGCCTTTCAACACTTCACCACACGATCTTCATATTTCTGATTGTTTGAATGAGCTACGCCCTGGTGATAACATTGAGATTCAATGGAGAAAAAACGAAGAATTCCCTTATGGTTAGTTCTTCTTCGTACCATTCCCTTTCACTGATTCACAAGTTTTTTTTTTCTCTGATATCATCTTTAATTCCTCTGATGAGTAGAAGAAAGCTTTAAATTATAGAACTCTGCTAAGAATTAAGAAACAGACTGCTTCATTGTAATAAGAATTCTTACCATACATACTTCTAATGCAGTTAGTATGCCACCAAATTCTTTTATACAATACATATTAATCATTTTATAGCTGATACAGTTACCGAATAAGTTGCAGGTTGGTGGTATGGTGTTGTTGGTCACTTAGAATCATGTGACCGGAACGAAAACTGTTGCCAATGCCATAAAAGTGGTAATTTCATCTCATCTTTTATTATTTCAAATGATACACTATCATCATATTCCATAGGAGTTGTTTGGGATTTGCTTAATACTCTTAAAAGACGGCATTAGGAAAATTGTGGATGAGATGAATATAAAGTTAACTTTCATGGATGACAACGAATTAGGGCAGGTCGTGTTCATGAATCTCATTTTCTCTGCAATACATGGTTCACGACTTGCGATGTTCGGTTGGTCCCGAAAGGCGGATCGCTTTCATTATGTCATAAACTCATAATTTCAACCAGCATGTTGATAACCTCTATCTCAGCAGAGTAGTTATGGCTAACCACACTGGAAGAACCCAATGTCTCCTATGGACTCTGTGTTTTGCTTATTCGGAATCTTTCCGCTATGTGGGGCTACAATGAAGATAAAAGGAAAGGGGTCTCTTTTGGCGATAATTTTCAACTTGAAAAAAGCTGAGAGCAATAACAACATAAATATACTTTAAGCAGACAAGAATTCCTCCGAGCATAATCTCAAAAGCTTCTTGTATTTTTATGGTTGTGCACTCGTCGGCTGTTCGGTTTCCGACTTGGCAAAATACACTTCCATCCATTGTTCAAGAGTTCATCACAGTTATTGATGTTTGAGTCATTGTCTGGTTTCTAAGATCTTAGTGATGATAACAGACACAGTGGTGTCGGAGTTCAATCAGTGCACCCCCGGCTCAAGGTGGAGGCGCACGACAGTCCATCGGAAAGAACACCGGGAGGAAGGAAACGAAGCAGATGGACTTTATGGAGGAATCAGAAAAATTGGCAACGAGATGATTTCAACATGGAACGCCTTTGGCCATCCGAAATCTTGGAATAGCCTGCCTTTTGCTTAGCAATGCATGCTAAAAAAAGTGACCAAACCTGGGCAAAATTGATCAAGTTGTTGCTCTAAAAATGAAGTTCACGGAAATCGAAGATCCACTCAAGGTCAAAGTTGCATGAATGAGACGGGTTGTTGAAAATCATCCGGAACCGGAAGCTCATTGATTATCCAAGAAACATGAAATATATTATTTCCCTGTAGAGCTCTGAAATTGTAAATTTTATCAAACAAAAATCAAACTTAATAATTGGTATTAGACTTATTTAAGAGTCAGATTATCTGTTAGATTTAAACTAGAGGTAGAGAAAATAAATATTCGAATCTTAAACTCTTTACATAAATTCAACTACTTTTTAATATTTTTACAAGTCAGTTGGTGAGATGCTTATGAGTTTGGAAATATTAATAATATATAAAATTAATAGAAACAAATCTTTATGAACAAATAACTATTTTTAATTAAAATAGAACAAAATCTATAATATGTAGATGGGTCGTTGAATTAAAATAGGGGTCGAATTGTAAACAAAAAAACAATCAGAGGTCAAATTGTACTTTGAAACCAAGGCCAGAGGTCAGATTACAGGTTAAAGCCAAGATCAGTGGTTAAATTTTAGATTAAAACAAATTTAGGGACCAAAAGGTACATTACCCCAGAAAGAAAACCCCTAAACAATGGTTATGGACTGAATTTTGACATTCAAAGCCGTTGGATAAGCATGTAGAACATCCCCTGGTGTGCTCAAAATATTTTTCCTGGGTTGAAGCTGAAGCAGAATGTCAATGAATTGAAAGAAAAAAAATATTCCATGGAAATTCAGCTTCTTCCTCAGACCCACTGCATGAACTCACTCACTTCCATGCTTAATAAAACCCTTCTCTTTTCCTCGTCTTCTAGACTTGTACCCTTATCTTCATCTTCATCTTCAACGACAAAGAACAATCTCAAGCTCTCTTCTGCTCCTCTCAAGGCGGGTTGGTTGGACTCTTTGTCTTGCCCTCCCGATGAAGACCCGACCCGGACCAATGCGGATTCCACTTGGGTCATTGGTATTGATCCTGACCTCTCCGGTGCCTTGGCCCTCTTGAAAACTGATTCCTTTGGTTGCTCCACACAGGTAGATCTTTTCTTCTCTTATTTAATTTTTTGGTAAAATAAAATTCTTGAAGTACCAGTTATTATAATTGGGTCATGAGAATCCTGTAATGGGGTTTGAGTTGGACATGGGTTTTCTTATGTTTAGTTGTTTCATATTAGGTATTTGATTCGCCGTACTTGCCTGTTCAAGTTGGAAACAGAGTTCGAAAACGTTTAGATGCCAGGTCAATCGTTCACTTGGTTAAAAGTTTAGAGGCTCCTATTGGTATCCCTCTCTCTTTATCTTTCTCTGTGTTGAAAAATTGTTTTCAGCTCCACTTTATGTTATTTGTGCATTGGTTGACCTTGACTTACTTAGGCACTGCAGCGTATATAGAGCAATCTATCCCCTTTCCTAAAGACGGGAAACAGGTTAGCATTTGTTACCACACAACTGAATTTTGTTGAACCCTTTCAATCATTAATTATTATATTCCTTGCATCGTTTTCGTGTCATTGCTGCCATTATTTGTATCTCTTTCTTGCTACTCTAATATGCTATTCCAATGTTTTTATATTGGTGCAATCTATTTCCCATCTATACATTTGGTGTTTCCTCTTGCAAATTATGTTGCCTTAGATGTTTCCTAAATTATTTTTCATTCGGTACTCATACTAGCCATGAACTGCAAAAAAGACAGGCCGCTCTTTCCCATCCCGAAAATTCCAGCCTCCCATTCCCGAAGTCTGTACTTGAGACCTTCAAGTGGAAATCTCAACTTCTAATAACTATTTGAGGTCCCTTTATGGACTTTCTTTACCGTATTTCCTTCTGTATTCTTATGCACTCATCAGTTCGAAAAGAAATGTTGGATCAATTGCTCCAAGATTTTAATAGTTCATGCTGATATTATTATTATTTTCTTATTTCTTTATTTAGGGTTGGTGGAGTGGAGGATTCGGGTATGGATTATGGATCGGGATACTAGTTGCCTCAGGGTTTTCTGTAGTTCCAGTATCATCGTTGTCGTGGAAGAAAGAGTTTGAACTCACTGGAGCTGGCTGTACAAAGGTTAGTCTAGTAGTGTTATTCTCTAATCACTGATTCTTGCCTGTTGACCAAATACTATTTGAAATAAATGAGGTAAATATAGTTCATTTATGCATGCATAAAATTGAAGAAACGTGTGGATAAGAGAACTACGGAAAGGAAAGAAAGTGCTGTTATGTCTGTATATGCATCAATAATGGTAGATGAATGCAAAAGAAATCAGCTGGGCCATTCTTCTTAACTTGCAGTAGCCTTTGAATTGAAATGCCGAGCAGATTGCATTTTTAGCTTTTAGTCCCTTCTTGTTCTCTTTCTCTTTTTCTTCAATGGGATGAGTGAAATGGTCAGTGGAGCAGTTTCTCGGTTTCGGAATTTGCAACTGAAACAGTAGATGACTTACTGATGATTGCATATCATACTCGTAAGTTATAGTATCACTCTATACCCTTAGTCATACATACATTTAGATTTTAATAACAAGTAATTTATATAGCAAAGTCAATTGGGTTGATATTTTAAATGAATTTAATCTGAAACTTTTCACTTAACTTATTGAAAGGTAGAAGAAACTATATTATTGCAATTTAATTACGAATTTTGTTGACCAGTAAGAGTCCACAAAACCAGGTAAGGTGTCAATTTGAGGCCCATCACATGACAGCCGTACTCTTAAGTGATAACCTTTGGATTAATGATGAAAGGGAATAGAAGAATCACATTATTTTACATAAATCTTTTATATTTGTAACGATTCCAATTTTTCCAAGAAATGTGAAGCAGTATGATGTCCTCCCCTCCAATCAGTAAGATGTAGATTCATGGCATCTTAACTGTCACATGTGCTTATGGCACCAGAAGCTGTTGCTCTGGGCGTAAGTAAATAGCAAAGCTTTTGAACTTTTTGTTTCAGTAGGTATCAGTCTCAACCATTGCATGCAGGAATTGTCTTAAGTTCAAAGCAATCCTTTAAGACATTGTGATGCCTCACAGCCTCAGTTATGATTTTTGTAAGTAATTATTATCCATTCCGGTTTTTGACAGGATGATAGTCGGAGAGTTGCATCAACTTTATTTCCCACATTAAGTGATATGTTGAAAAGGAAAAAAGATCACGGTAGGTGTTCTGGTTTCCAAAGATATAGCATTTTAAATCTCTATTTGTTATTGTTATTTCTTAATACTTAATTGTAAAGAATCACCGTTTGCATTCCGTAAAGTTTCCTGTCAGCTGCTTTATAATTGAAACAGTTACAGGCCATATTTTTAATTTTCTTTCCCCCTTTATTTCCAAATAGACATTAATCTCATTTTGTTTTCAGGAAATTGCTTATAAGCTCTTAATAGTTAAAGCTATGTGGCTCTCTTTGTTCTCTGCCTTGTCCGCGATCAAGTGCTAGAACAAACCTGTCACTTAATACTATACTAAGAAAACTCTGTGTCTATGCTATCTTTGAACCTTGAAAAATACTCATGTTGATCTGTGAACCAGTGTATTTTCATTTACGCCTATGCCAAATTGCCAATTGTGGAGATGAAAAAGTTAGTGCAGTTGCTTTCTCATCCTCTGACCTTAGAATCCGGTGACTGACCATTCCCGGTGTTTTACAACTGAAAGAATGCAGCCTGTAGAAGAAACAAAAACCGATAACCATATAAATACGTTGCCACCAAACATCTTTCTCGTACATTAATCGAGCATCCTGGATCACATGCTCCTCAAGTCCTCATTATTTCCTACTCTTAGCAAATGATCTTTCCAGTTGTAAATTGAGTTTTGACCCGAGATTGGAAGATAAAGTTTGATTTAAGCAAGGCCTTGTATTGTATTTCTGTATCTTCTGTTACTGACATTTTTCTAACTTGATTATCTCATTGGCTTCTGTTTTCTTTTGAGCTTTTTAAGGAAGGGCTGAGGCTCTGCTTATTGCTGCATATGGAAAAGGCCTGAGAATGAAGGTAGACTCAGCACTTGTTGTGGAAAGGTCAGTTCAATAATGCCAGCAGTTCGTACAGGTGCCCTACTTCCCATAGTAGTCTCATCTCTTTGTTGCTGTAATTTTAACTGGTAACCATCGTCTTAAGGCTGATTTGAATGGTGAATGGTATGAAAAGAGGAAATTATAGACGCTGATTGGATATTGCATTTGGAAAGCATAGTGAGAGTTAGCTTGCTTGATTGGTGCTGAACTGTTGATATCCACTAATTTTGTGATATATTGTAATCTTTAGCTTTTAGACAATTAGCATAAGTTCTTCTGTTGCCTGATATTGGTTTTAATGCCATAAATAGTCGTACGGCCTCTGAATTCCATGGTTAGGGTCCACGTTCTCCCAAATACAGGTCCAATTTGAAGTGGGGAAATACCTTGATTTGAATTCTAACATTGTCAAGTCAAAATTGAGCTCAAGCATCTCATGTTATTGAATAGTTGAAGTTTGAGTATCATGATACCAAGAGTAACTCGCGAGTTTAATCCATTTTTAAGAAAATACTTATTTATTTAACGTTAATAAAAAAACTCAATTCAAGCTAAAATTCAAATGCAAATAATTAAGTTCGAAGTTGAACATGACAATAGAAATCTTTTTTTTTCGCTATTCAACATAAATCAATGAAAGTTTTGATTTTTATCTTGTATCAAGTTTTAAAATTAAAATTCAATCAAACTCGAGTTTTGAATCACAAGTTTCGACTTAGTTTGAGCTCCTACTAGGCTCAGTTACACCCCTCAAGTGGTGGCTTGTTTTTCTCCATCAAGCACAATTTAAACCGGAAAAGCAACTAGGATTTTCAGAAGATGAATTCAGCTCTATGGCAAACTTCACAAAAAAAAATCATAACTCGTCTAGACAAGCACATGAAACTGTCGCCAAATAATACAGACTAACATAAGGTAATATTACGAATCTACTATGTTGTCAGCTGTTTGATCCTCCATCCACCAAATCCCGGCCTTCTCACTTGCTGCTAAAATAGCACAATATGCTTCCACATTCAAGAAAAGAAAATGCGCGTCTCAGGGAATCCAAGAAACGCCAGAAATCTCAGCCTTCGGGAAAGAAAACCTGAAAAAATTTAGTTTCTCTTGTTAGCCATTGCATACTTTCAAGGTGTGATGACAGGGTTCACAAATTTTCTGTTTCGAAAAAAGTATAGGGCTTCTCAAATCTCAAAGAAGCCTTCAAAACATTTCATCAATGTTTTGAAAATGCACCCCTACCTAACCTTCCCTTAGCAAAGTGAACAAGGAACATCAACCATAATGAACAAAGAGTTGAAAACGGAGAGCCCTATCATTTAGTGAGAAAAAAAGAGAAACTCCTAAAAGTTGCCAACATATCTAGACCAGCAGGTAAAGTTTAATTAGGTACTAAGAGCAACAATAATTTACCCAGCGTATAACCACATCGACCATGTGTTCGGAATATATTTACAATAGAATTATTAACATCCTGAGACCTACCGGGACACTTATCTTAGAAAATTTTCCTAGAATTTACATTTTTGTTTCTCTTTTAGATATATGTCTCAATTTGTTTTAGCTAGTATACTAGAAAACACTTCAGTAAAACTCTGGCTTATTGGTCAAAGCATTTAAAGATATATTACATAAATGTTAAATGGCATATTCTTAAAATTTTAATTTAATTGCAAAGAATCTGGTAAGTGAGACCCTTACACCCCAAAATGCCATCCTACTGTAGATTACTCGTTCCGAAAACTGATGAAGATGGTATAGCTGAACCAATATGTCACTGTCTACATAAGAATAAGTTAGTTGAAGTTTGAAAACTCAATGACACGTAAATCAACCAAACATTTTCCTCAACACTGACATTGTTATTTTTCATTATTACGGTCTCGAATTATCTCCTCACTTGTAGTTCACGTAGTCTTCATTTGCCAATTGGAGGTTGAAAGAGATTTAGCAATACAATAAAAAATCGCTTACTCATAATTTCATTCATTTTACTTCAGAAGAACATCCAAAATTGAAGAATAGAAAATACCAGATATCTTGGTTCAAAGTTCTCTTGTTATTGATTGAAATAGTTAACAGTAAGGTCTTCCAGATATCATTTTAAAGTCCTTTTAGTACCGAGGTAAAATGGCTGCCAATTTAGAAGCTATAAATTGAACTTGATATGGAAGAAATAAAACAAAAGCATACTAGTAATTAGAACATCCACTTGCTTCAACTGAGCATATATCCTTTTCATTTAAAATGTTTCAACCATAAAAGGGATTAGAACATACCAATAATACACAGCCAATGTTGATGTTTTCAGGAACCTTCTGTGGCAGTCTTCTCTGTGGTTGCATCTCAATTTGTCAGCTATAACTCATGTGCACAATAGAGCAGCGGAAAGAAGAAAAATAAAACATGTGACAAGTCGTAAAGTATTTCTAAAATAGACATATATCCTTCAACTAGGCAATGCTACTCAAACAAGTAACAACTTACCCAAGCTACCTGTAGTCTTAACTAGTAAACAACCAATAACGGTGATATCGCCAAATAGTATTAAAAATAATAATCACAAAACCCATCTCCTTTGAGTGATTTCTAAGCTATTTTACTTTTACCCAGATTCTTCATTTTTTTTTCTGAAGTGCCAATATATAACACCTTTGTTGGGCCCATGTTTGAGCATAGGTATGAGCCTATGATTGATATATAGAAAAATTTAGAAGAAAAAAAAATTGAGTGTGCCTGTGTTCGATACATATCCCTATTTGACAATCACTTCTAAGTCCGGTAACACAAGGTTTCTTTATATAAAGCCATCCGTTGGCATATTAGACACACAACACAAATTTAATCTGTTGCTTAACACATTCAGGAGAAAAGTTAGAGTGAATTCCAGAGCAATGACCATAAACATGCTAGGCTTGCTAAACCGTTAATAATCAACATTCCTCAAAATTTTCAAAAAATGGAACTGATCAAACTATTGTAGAGCGTCAGTGAGTTTGAATAAACCGAAGAAGAGAGCAGTGAAAAGGTTATTTACCATGTTGCAATCCCATGGATACCATTCGGTCTATATTATCGATACGCCGCTGAATGGATTTCAAAAGCAAATTCAATGAGGAAACTCTCTTTCTGACATTATAAAACTTGACAGCATGCTGCATTACGAATGGTAACGGAGCATCTTCCAGTAATTGATCAAGCTCTGCTATTAGAAAACAATATTATCTTGTATCAATATTCAATTTAATCCAGAAAAACAAAAAAGGAACAAAAGGGGGGAAATTAACCTCGGGTAAGGCGATCAACTGAGGAACTAAGGAGGTCTTGACTGGCGAGAGTGTCGTGGGCTTTAGAATCGAAGTCTTTGATGAGAGAAGTAAGCATGGAGGATAACGCTTTGGCTAAAGCATTGGTGCTGGGATCATCGTTGGATTCAGAGTCTGGGTCCGGGGGTGGATTCGTTGAGGAATCGGAAGGGATTGGTTGGTCTGAAACGCCGCTAATGGTGGCGTCGTTGTGATTTGAACCCTGGTTTTGGCTTTCCATTTTTCTGCGTTTTTTTAAGCGAATATCAAGACTACGTTGGACTTGGATAATATTAAACTCAACTACGAATAGATGGGTTAAAATGTAAATAACTTAACCCAAACAAAATACCTTGTAACTTTCTAGAAACGACTCCGTATTGTATTTTTCTAAAATTTTATTAGATTTTTTTTATAAAAAATAGATTTATATAATAAATTCATATCTAATTAATTAAGTAATAATTTTATAAATATTTGTGAAAATAATATTCTTATTAATTTTAATTTAAAATTTTAAAAGTATTAATTATAAAAAAGATTTGCGACACTAATGTGAAAGTTTATTATTCATCATTAAACATATTAATATGACCCAAGTTGGTTTTTATTGTTATTTAGTTTTTCAAAAAATAAAAATTATTTTAACTTAAAAATAATTAAAAAAATCATTTGAAAATTTTCTAGAAAAAATTTAAAAATAAAAATAAAAATAAAAATAGTAATAATATGGTATAGAAAAGTATATAAAATTATTTTTAATTATTAAAATCATGTATGAGAATTTAAATATTGTAAACATAAGTATGATTATTTTTGTTATAGTTTTAATTAGTTAGAACTTTTTAGTATAATTACCAATATTTAATTTATTGATCAATTTATTATGAAATAACCCTTCTAACTAAACTTAGTATGACTATTTTTGTTATAGTTTTAATTAGTTAGAACTTTTTAGTATAATTACCAATCTTTAATTTATTGATCAATTTATTATGAAATAACCCTTCTAACTCAACTTATTTCGTATATAACACTATAATTTGAATCATAAAAGTTGTTTAAGCTCTGGTGCCTAATATTGAAAGAAAATTTAAAAAATATAACAAACCAGTTGATTTTATAGATTCGTAGTAATGAGACTCTATAGTATTTGATCCGGATTAATCAATTAAAAAATTAAATATCAATAGATATACTAAAAAAATACAAGTGATTAAAATTGTAACAAGAATAATCATACTTTTATTTTATGTCTTTTTTAATTATTATGATTTATATAACTATTTATGATTAAAAATATTTTATAGTTTTATATATTGTTTTAGAATATTATTGAAAAAATCCATTTTTATTGCTGTTGTGTTGCAATAAATATTAGTAACGGAAGTAGTAAAGGAGACGGGGAAAGTCCATAAACGCGAATCCTAGCCTAGGTTTTACCATATTTAATTCCTGAAACAGTAATCAGTTAATGAACTTGCTGGCTCACTATAAAATGAAGGGGAAGCAATGAAGTTACTTACAGCAGGCAAATACGACCAGAGAATGACTACAATCATTTCACCGAAGCAATTCTCTCCTGTTGAAGATGCAGAAAATATCAAGAATGCTTGTCAAGGTTCCCTATTCATCGTTAACTTTTCATTTGTAGGACACGTTAATCTACGTCTCCATTTGATGTGTGGGATATCTTCAATTTTCAGGATGGGGAACGGATGAGAAGGCCATAATTTCGATACTGGGACATCGGAATTTATTTCAGAGGAGGCTTGTTAGACTAGCTTTTCAAGAGATTTATCATCAAGATCTCCTCCAGCAGCTCAAATGCGAGCTCTCCGGAGACTTCGAGGTTCATGTTTGGTTTCAGAAAACTAATTTTTACGAATCGATGCGTTCTTAATGGCATTTTTTCTGGATACAGAGAGCTATAAGCCTATGGACTTTGGATCCTGCAGACCAAGATGCTGTTTTAGCCAATGAAGCTTTGCAGAAGAGTGTTGTTGATTATAGAGTACTTATTGAAATTGGATGTATCAGATCCCCTGAAGATCTCCTGGCAGTGAAACGTGCTTATAAATTTCGCTACAAGCGCTCCCTTGAAGAAGATCTCGCTTCTTGCACCGCCGGTGATCTTCGAAAAGTACGTTTTAACAGCGATATTAGACCTCATATTATCGTAATAGAGCAAGGGATACTATGTTCTTGTGTTGTCATATTGCAGCTTTTGGTGGGAATAATAAGTGCATACAGATATGATGGGGATGAGTTTGATGAGACGCTGGCACATTCTGAGGCCACCATTCTGAATCATGAAATCCATGGAACGGGATTCAACCAAGAGGAAGTGATTCGAATCGTGAGTAGCAGGAGTCGAGCACAACTCAATGCAACATTCAACGTCTACAAAGACATCTATGGTCGTTCCATCACAAAGGTACAACACCCTAATCAACATTTGCAAAGCCTTCTGTAAGCTGTATTACGCATTGATCAGCTTGGTTCCATTTTCCCATCTTTTAAAGGCTTTCCCCGGCGGTGACTATTTTCCCACACTGCGCACTGTGATCCGTTGCATTCGAGACCCTCAAAAGTGCTTTGCGAAGGTAAGGCAGCGAATTTAACTGTAATTAAGGGGCAGATGTTTAATGCCTATTATGTGATGCAGGTAGGATGGATGGGGGCGGACGAAGATAGCTGTTCTTAAATTTTTAAAAGTTTGTTCTTCTGATATAAAATCATATGTTTATTTCTGAATTTAGATGTTACGAGCATCCATCAACACGGCGGCCACAGATAAAGATACTCTAAGTCGAGTGATCATCACCCGCGCGGAGAAGGACTTGACGACGATAAAGGAACTTTATCTGAAGAGAAACAATGTGTCGGTTGATGAAGCGGTTGGAAGAGACTGTTCTGGGGACTACAAGGACTTTATTCTAACCTTATTAGGGGCAGACCAAAGTTGAAGATGAAGCTCTTATTCTGCCAACATTTTTATTTTTTTGATGTTTGGTTGATTCCTGATAGATTATTTAAATTTGAATAAAGAAACCGACAGTTAAGTAGACAAATAAATATGTTGTTTTTCTAAATCTTGCTGTCTAAGGACGACACAGACAATCATTAGAAATTACGTGCCTCTACATCTATTATCAAAGTTCATTTTTGATAGTCATATTTACTTATATTCTAATAAAATATTGGTATCTATAATATTTTAAGGGTAAACTATATATTTAGTACTCCAAATATTTTTATTCCGTTTTAATCATCTAATTATTTTTTGTTTCAAGATTATACCTAACATTACGTTTTAATTTTATTTTGATCATCCTAAAAAATTAACAGGACTGTTAACAGAACATTTTTTTTAAAAAAATTTCAATAATGATATGATATTACTTTTATGATAATATATCGACATCACCGTAAAATATTTAACGATAAAGGATAAAAATAAATTAAAATTTAATATTATATATAATTTAAAAAAATAGGCGAGTGAAAAAACAGAATAAAAATGATAGTCGAATTATTAAAAGTATAATTTATTTATATTTTGACGGGGGAAAGAAGCTTTAAAATTGGATATTTGGCTTCGATCCAAAGTCAATAAAAAGTAAAATTTATTTAATTACAGATAATCATAAAAACTTAAACTTCTCCGTTATAAATCCTAAATATAAAAACCTCAATCGACCCTTGACTAACCCACGAATTTTGAATCAGACACGCCTACTAATTTTTTGTACATTTTCTAAAAGATACGCACGTGGAGATCACCTGATGGCGAGCGGTGACGTTGAGGCCCTGGATTTTGAACCGGAGGACGACGACCTCATGGAAGAGATGCCGACGCCGCCTCCCCTCAAGCTCCCTTGCCTAAGATCAAGTCCGCCATCACTGGCGCCGCTTCCACGTCTCTTTCTGGCCCTAAGAAGACCAAGGGCCGTGGCTTCCGCGATGACGCTGACCGCAACTCCCGTCTCGCCTCCCGCGACTTCGAGTCTCTCGGAACTAACGGGGGGGCCGGTCCCCAGAGATGTTTGTGCCTACACTAAACACTATTTTTTTCTTTCCCCTTTACTTGTTTTCTTTCCTTTTGTTTTATTTTTAGGGTTTTACTATTATTTTTGTGGCCTATAAAGCAAGAAAATTACGACAGAGACTCAAATTTTGCTATACGAAAGTTTCTCAAATATTTCAGAACTAAATTTAGTCGAAATTAGTTTGGAATTTGAAAGTTTTGGTTTGATGTTGAAGCTTGGCTAGTATATTGTTAATATTTGGATAAATTCTTTATTCGCTAACAGTTGCTATTAACTCTAATTCTAAACAAAATAGTTCAAAAAACTAATCTCAGTGACAATTAATTTCTCGTGGTAAAATATTTTTCTCTTCAATTCATGATATATTTGGTTATTCTGGGATTAGACTTCTAAATTAGTTGCTTTGTGCGCTGTTAAAATTTCCTAGACTTTTGGATGTTCAATTCCTAAATGCAACAATCTTGACCTCATCACTGTGGAATGTGGATATTTTCTAATCTTGTTGTATTTTATGGAATCCCTTTATTAAGAAGAAAACGCTTTATTAACTTTCTTATTGGAGATCTTTAGTGATAAGGTATGTTCAATACATTCATGAGGCTAGAACAAGTTTAATGGATAATGATTCATGAATTTTATTGCCCACATTTTATGTGCACCCAACATTATGTAAGATGTACTCGTCTGTCAATTGGGGATGGTTAAAATTTCTGAAGTGGGGGAATTTCTAGGCTTGGTTATTAGACATAACTGTTTTTAATTTCTGAGGTGGAAAGTGAACTCGATTATTGGGACTTAAAATAGGTTTTATATTTTCAATTTTAGAAAGAAACAGCTAATTCTTAAGCAACTAAGTTTGCTGAACTGTATTCCAACGTAAAAGAGGGAATTGCATTTGGAATTAGAGGAAATTCCTTAGAATAGTTTCCCCTTTATGCCTTTACAGAAACCAGTTTTAAACTTGCGTGATGTACAGGACACAATTCTGTACAAAATATTTAACATCTTTTAGAAATTTCCTCGACTTCAAAGGATTGTATATATATATATATATATATATGAAAAGAATATGTGTTTAACATTCTTGGCTGATTGTTAAGGTTCATTTTGTTTCATTACTGAAAGCATGCGACCTTTTCTAAAAACCAATCCGTACCCTCTTAGATCTATCCTGCAATTTTTAAGTTTGTAGGCAATCCTTTATTTCCTACAGGATGTCAATT